CCATTAGCTTCTTTTCCGACCTGCTGATCAGAACCAGGTCCAGACCCCTTCTGGCAAGCTGACCAAAACACAGCACAGTTCAAGCTCACTCCGGTTCCCACACAGACATTCACACTCAAGTCACCGCCAAACTGAATTCCACATTCCCACCTTCACTGTGATTCATATCTGGAACAGATCATGCCAAAGACTGAGACATGGCTAAACACACGGATACACATAAAGACACGGATACACAAACACAGAAACACACACACAGAAACAGCCAGGCAGGCAGGGACAAAAGTGTCTGTCAGCCTATCTGTCTGTCTCTGTCTGTCTCAGTGTCTCTCAGCCTGTCTCTCTCAGTTTATCCTCAGCGCTTGCTCTCGTTGTCTTGGTGAAGGGGATGCTCACCTCGATGGCGTAGGCCTTCCCTATCCCCGAGGTTGCTCCGGTTACCACTGCCAAACAACAACAACAACAGCAGGAACAGGATTATCATTGGAGCAGTACAGCCCTGGAGGTTCCTGCTGTTCCAGGAAAATCCCACTGGCACGGTTTGTGCTCTAACCTCCAGGACAATCCCAATCTCACAGGCCAGACTCTAACCTCTGGGAAAATCCCACTCTCATGGCATTCACACAGTCAGACACCCTCTATCTCACACAGTCAGACACTCTCAATCTCACACAGTCAGACACTCTCAATCTCACACAGTCAGACACTCACAGTCACGTACTCTCGTAGTCACACACTCAGACTCTATCTCAGTCAGGCTCTCTATCTCACAGTCAGACACTCTCTTTCTCACACAGACACTCTCTATCTCACACAGTCAGACACTCTCAATCTCACAGTCACATACTCTCATAGTCACACACTCAGACACTCAGTCTCACAGTCAATTCAATTCAAGGGGCTTTATTAGCATGACCGATGGGTACAATCAGTGTTGCCAAAGCAAATAAAAATAATAAAATTCACATGAAACAAAACAACAAATAAAAGTAAAATAAAATCTACAGACATATTACAGACATCTACAACAAAGACATATCATAAAATATTTACATATACTGTAGACAGATGGAGCATTATTGGGAGACAGGCTCCCTGTTCCTCAGGCTGTGACAGGAGATCACATACTGGGCTGCCAGTTCAACTGAGTTCCCTCCTCCCTCTCCCAGTAGGACTGGGACCTGTTGTGATTCTGGCAGGTGTGGGAACTCTGGGACCAGATTTCTGAATTTAGGGAAGAATGTTTCTCTAATCCCAGAGTATCTGTCACAGTGCAGTAGGAAGTGCACCTCTGTCTCTATTTCTCCCCGCTGGCAGTGGGAGCACAGCCTGTCCTCTCTGGGCAGCCAGGTCTGCCTGTGTCGCCCAGTTTCTATGGCCAGGCTGTGGTCACTGAGCCTGTACTTCGTCAGGGTCTGTTTCTCTTTGCTGTTTCTTATCTTGGTCAAATATTCGGCTAGTGTATATTGTCTGTTTAGGGTTCTGAAGCATTCCAGTTTATGTTGTGTTTGTGTGTGTGTCCCAGTGTGAGATATTGCTGTTTGATCTGTGCTGAGTTGTGGTGCTCTAGCAGTGCTGTCCTGAGGCTGGCTGGTGCCGGTGTCTCAGGTCAGTGAGCCTCAGGACCAGCTGGCTCAGGGGGCTCTGTTTTGGGCTCAGCTCTTGGCTCAGCAGGGCGATAGGAGTTTTGGTTGCTGTTTTCACTCTCACTTGCGAGCTGTCACATGCAAGAACAAAGTAGAAACATAAACTCTTGTTTATCAGATCTCACAAAGAGTATTCACCCCTCTCCCTTTCTCACTCTCCGACTAATCTCTGAAGTGCAAACTGAAAGACTGCTATTGGCATGACTCATGAATCACATTAGTTAAACATTTACAGACACTCAGCATAATAACTTGATGATGATTATATTATTATTATTAACAACCAAGATATATAATAAGAGGCATTGTTGTCTCACCAGTCAGAAGAAAGTACTTTTCATGCCCTCTCTATCTTTAGATCCTCTTTTTTCTGCCTCCTATCTCCCTCCCTCTCCAGCCCTCCGCTCTGTACTCGTCTCTCTTATCTCTCTCAGTTCAATTCAAGGCGCTTTCTTGGCATGACCAGCGAGTAAAATCAGTGTTGCCAAAGCAAAACAAATACAATTAACACAAAACAAAAATCCACAGGCATTTACAATCAAGACACAATCATGAAATATTCACATATTAAACTATTTCTATATAAAATCTCTCTCTCCGTCTGTCTCCAGCCTCGCCCCTCGTCCTGTCCCGCGCGATCCCTCTCGGGCAGCGGCGGCGCGCGTGCACGCCAGTCACGGGCCCGGCTCGCGAGCGGAGTGCGTTCTCTCTTTGTTTTCAAACTTTCATTGAACATCAAATAGTAAGAACAAGGAAAAAAAGGTATTAAAAAATGTAAGGTAACAGAAAAAGCACACAAATCAATACGCTGCCATAGGCATTTAGGAGTCAGCACACAGTAAGCTCAGTTTTTTCCATACATCACGCGGAGTTCACGCCCGTTTTATCTCCGTGACGTCAGTCAGTGAAACCGCAACTCCAGTGTTTTTACAACCCACTGGGACCGCGAATCGTTTACACTCACAACTGTAGTATTTCTCCTCAGAAGATCCGACAGAAGGAGGCTAAAGAAGACGAGGCCCAGCTGACCGACCGCTCCGCATGCGCACATGCCCCCACTCCCCCGTGACCCCGGGTCAGCCCGAGAGGGCGCGATGTCAAAGGTCAGGTTGTGCACGAGCGTTTGCTGTGAAAGATGAGGGTCGAGTTGTGAATTGACTCTCGTCTGACAGCCTTTTCCACTCGGCACCAAATCCAGTCACGTCGCGTAGCTTACTTTCCTGTGTAAATTAATAATGTAATCTTTAAATCACCTGAATCACCCCCTTACAGTCCCCCACGTTCCAGGCTGAAGAGTCTCAGCTCCTTTATCCTGCATGTGCAGCACATTCATGTTCAGAAGCACTTCTTTACACAAAGGGTGGTGGGAGCGGGGAACAAGACGCCCAGCCATGTTGTTGAACCCAATACTCTGGCTTCATTCCAGAAACAGCCGGTGGGGTCCAGGGATCAATTCACTACTAACACGCAGGACGGGTCTCATGGCCTGTTCTTGTGTTCTCTCAGAGGCTCCTGCAGGCCGGGCCGGCAGTGATGTCAGTGCAAGACGTGACCATCTCCTCCAATCGTCTCTCACTCTCCTGCGCGTCCAATGGGGCTCTCTGCGCTCAGTGAGGGGACTGGCTCCACCCTCCTCATTCTCACCCCATACGGGTCTGGGAATCACAGTGAGCGGTTCTGTACC